AAGTTAGTTAAGTAAGTAAGTAAGTAAGTAAGTAAGTAAGTTAAGTAAGTAAGTAAGTAAGTAAGTAAGTAAGCAAGTAAGCAAGTAAGCAAGTAAGCAAGTAAGCAAGTAAGCAAGTAAGCAAGTAAGTAAGTAAGTAAGTAAGTAAGTAAGTAAGTAAGTAAGTAAGTAAGTAAGTAAGTAAGCAAGTAAGTACGTAGGTAGGTAGGTAGGTAGGTAGGTAGGTAGTAGGAGTTTGCGCGGCTAGGGTCCTCCTGGACCCGGACCTCCCAAAGGCCGGCTTCCCGCGCCCCAGCTCTGAGTGCCTGGCTTAGGGTTTAGGCGTTTAGGGGTTTAGGGTTTAGGGGTTTAGGGTTTAGGGGTTTAGGGTTTAGGGTTCAGGGTTTAAGGGATTAGGGTTTAGGGGTTTAGGGGTTTAGGGGTTTAGGGTTTAGGGGTTTAGGGTTTAGGGGTTCAGGGTTTAGGATTTAGGGTTTAGGGTTTAAGGGTTTAGGGTGTTAGGGTTTCAGGGTTTAGGGGTTTAGGGCTTTAGGGTTTAGGGTTTCAGGGCTTAGGGTTTAGGGTTTATGTGAGCGCCTGGTTTAGGGTTCAGGGTTCAGGGTTTAAGGTTTAGGGTTCGGGCTCAGGGTTTGGGAGTTTAGGGGTTAATATTGGGGTCTAAGCTTTAGTGGTGGGGGTTCAGTGTTTAATTCTTAGAACTTAAGATTTAGGGTGTAGGGGTTCCGTCACTGCTCAACTTTACACAGTTCCTCTAGGGAGTCCGTTGAAGGATTCCTTTGCAGGGTCCTTTCAGGGGTTCCCTTCAGTAGGGCTCGTATACTCAAAGGATCATTGATCCTCCAAATTCGCGTTTTGGGGTTGGGGACTTCAAGGGTCTTCAAACAAAGGGTTTTGCCCTAAACCCTGAACCCTAGCCCCGTTTGGGAAATGGCTGGGGTTCTGAGGCTAGGGCTTCAGATTCTTCTCTTAACTTCGTGCTTCGGGCTAAGGGGTTTGGGGATTTAGGGTTTAGTGTGTTGGGTACTGGGGTTAAAGGTCTCGGGCTTAGGGACTGCATCGATTGAAGGTCGAGGCGTGCCTGACATGAGAGCTCTTGAACCCTTTACAGCTTGGATTAAGTGTTTTTTCTCAAGTTGATCTGTGTTTGTTGGTCGTTGGTCTTGTTCGTGTCTTGATGTGGTGCAATGCTTGCCTGCCGTAACACCGAAGCCCTGAACCCTAAACCCTAAACCCTGAACCCCAAACCCTAAGACTAAACCCGTACACGTAACCCCCCTAAACCTGCGTAGAACCTCCCCTAGGTTTATGGTAGCCCCTTCTTGGAACTGAGTGGGCCCCTTGTCCCTGAACCCTCGAACCCTCCACGGCCTAAACCCCAACCCCCAAACCCTCCAAACCCGAAACCCTAAACCCTAAAGGGCTTCAGGGCTTCGGGTTCTTCCGCCCCCAAACCCGTGAAAGGCGAGCTCTGTGGGACGAAATGTTCAAAAAACTCTCGCAAGGCCAAGGCCCACACCACCAGGGGCATCTCTCTGCGGGCCAGGAGCTAGTTCTTGATATCCTCGGCGGGGCGCTTGCAGGCTTTGGGTTTTAGGGTTTAGGGCTGAGGGCTCAGGGCTTAGGATTTAGGTGCAAAAGATGGCCTTCATCAAGCTCTCTGAGGAGGGACTGGATAGGGAAGTTCAGGAGGGTTTCGGAAGGGGCTTGCAGGGCGATTAAGTAGAATCCGGCCCTAACCCCCCCTAAACCCTAAACCCTAAACCCTAAACCCTAAGCCCTAAACCCTAAACCCTAAACCCCTATGCCTTAGAGCCTTAGACCCTAAGCCCGAAACCCTAAGGCCCAAACCCTGGGGCCGAAACCCTAAGGCCGCAACTGCTGGCACTGGGCTTCAGATCCAGAAATCATAATCATCGAGTTTCGGGTGAAAACCCTAGGAGCTGTGATCATGATCCGAGAATAATATTCCGGAACATATTTCTAGCCGGCTTCAGACTCTTATTTTACAGTTCGAACCCATCCTAGAAATGGTTTCTCCGGATCAAAATCACGGATGATTATCCTGGAATTAAACCCTAAACCCTCAACCCTAAACTTCCGGACCGTGTTTCTAAGGTTCGAGCTCCCAGTTGAGGCTTCAGACGGTCATTTTAGAGCTCGAACCGGTCCCCTACGGTTTAGGGTTTAGTACTGTCAGCAATGGGTTTTCACATCCAGAGATCATATTCACAGGGTTTCGGCCGACACCTGTGAGCACACTCCTTAAAGCTTGAACAAGCCTGAAGCTGGATCCAAATGTTCGATTCCTCTTGACTTCTATGTCGGAGCTCGAACCCATCCCCTGCCCTAGATCCTTCTACAGCCTCAGCCATTGTTTCAAGATCCAGAGATCATAATCACAGGGTTTCGACCACAACCCTGTGATCATGATCCAGACATCGAGTGGGCATACCTGAGAACCGAAACCCTAAGCCCACCGACGAGTTGGACCTTGCCCGCGAAGATTGGGGCCTTGCCCGCAAAGATTTGAGCGAAGATTTGGGGCCTTGCACGCGAAGATTTCGGGCCTTGCACGCGAAGACTTGGGCCATGCACGCAGAGAATCCAGGCACAAGTCTTCGCAGGCAAGGGCCGAAAGAGGAAACAAGAAAAGTGTAACGAATGCGTGCCTCTTTCTCCAAATCTTCGCGGGCAAGGCCCGTGTCGCTGATTTTGGCCTTGCCCGCGAAGATTTGGGCCTTGCCCGCGAAGACCATTAACATTTAGGATTCTATGTGATAGACTGGCTAGGGCTCAATGTAATGTCCGAAGACCTCAGGCCCTCAGACGAAAGACCCTTCACCGGGATCCCTTTATGACATGCATCTTCCCGGCCCTAGACCCCAATGCGCACCAACCCTAAAATACTACTGCTGATGATACAAATCTTGCATTAACTTAAGAACCCTAAACTAGGGGAAGTATGCTATATTCCTTATCATTATTATTATTATTGTTATTATTATTACTACTATTATTATTATTGTGATAAGTATTATCATATATATATATATATGGCTAATGCAGGATTTATATCACCAACCGTAGCAATTTCGCCTTCCTGCTCCTTCGTCTTGGCTTGCGGGCCCCTTCTTCCACCGTCTGCAGACTCTCAGCCCAAACCCCTAAGAGGGTTCAGGGCCGTTCAGGGTTTAGGGTGTAGGGTTTAGGGTTTGGGGTGTAGGGTTTAGGGTTTAGGGTGTAGGGTTTAGGGTTTAGCGTTCCGGGTTTAGGAGACGCTAAACTCTGAAGACCTAAATGCCTGAACTCTGCAACACTAAAACCAAAGAAGAGCCAAGTCTCCTAAAGGCCTGACCGGCAAGACCCTCGAACAAAAACCTAAACCCTTACCAACAAGAAGGACCCTCAAGCACTCAGATGTTGCCCGACAAGCCGCCGTCGAACCTCAGATGTGCATTTACTGGCTCATAAGAGAGCCCAAGAGAGCCCGATACCATAGCTTAAGGGGTCTATAAGCTTTTTTCTAAGGCTGTTGATGCAACAAGGCTTGTCAGGAATAGACCGTAAAATACCCAAAGAATCCCGGAAGTCATGACAGCAAGGTCCCTTTAGGGTTTAGGGTTTAGGGCTTGGGGGAATGTATTGGAGCATGCGATGTGGATCAGCTTTCCCAGACGACAGGACAGGATCTAGAAGGTAGAACTCCCTGTTTGCCACCCACAAGGGTCCCTGAACCCCAAACCCCGAACCCCCGAAGCTCCTCTGTGGGAAACTTGAGGGATCTACTCGATGGGGCCTTAATCCTAAAAACTGGGCTTGGGGGGGGGGGGGAATCTTGTACTATACCAGTGGTAGTGAGGGGCCACGGTTACCCACTCTGCCGCTCCCTACATGCCTTGTTTTGCCGTAACCCTAAACTAAACCCTAAACTCTACGCCCTAAAAAAGCCCCAAACCAGCTTTGTTTTCCAAGCCCCCACCAGTCGCCATGCATGGGCGATTTGGTAACTCGTACAAGATTCTTCTAAAACAACTTGTTAAAGGGTCCCTATGCGGGATCTACAAGGGTGATTTAAGGCTTTAGGGTTTTAGGGTCTTAAATTTCAATATCATCTCAGAAGGAATTCTGTGAGGGCTCTGTTAGCAGTGTATAGGGGTTCGGGGTTTAGGGCTTCGGGGGCTTAATGTTGAGGGATTTGGAATTTGGGTTAAGGGTTAAGGGGTAAATTACAAGGCATGCGATGAGCTGAATTCCATCAGGCCGCGATGTGAGAGGCAGGATCGTCTTCAAGACCCGCCAGGTGATCAAAGTGCAGATCAGCTCACAAACGAAAATCCCAAGCAGCGCGTCGACCTTGATGGGTTCAGGGTTTAGGGTTAAAAAACTCATCCGAAGCTGAACCTCTTTGGCACCTGTAGCTGCGGCTAAATGGGTTCGCATGGTCAGGTTGACCAGACTGTGGTTGGCCCTTGCACAGGACACCGCAAAAAAAACAAAAACTAATCGTAATGCCAAAAATGATGACAGTTAACCCTTACGAAGAAAGGTAATAACAAACAGTTGTAGTAACCTCAAACGAAGTACTAACAACGGTCTTGATGCAAATAGATTTTGCTAATCTTTCGCGCATGGCCCCTCAACCGCGTCCCTCAACACAGACCTCAAGCAAAGAAGACCAAGTCGCCGGGACCAGCTTGAAGGTATGCCAGCCGTATGTGCTGAAGATCTGCAGATGAAGGGCAGGTTTCAGAGAAGCCCTAAACCCTACCCCGAACTGTGAACCCTAAACAAGCCAAAACCTGAACCCTAAACCCAACACCCTAAACCCTAAACCCTAAAACCTAAACCCCTGAACCCTAAACCCAAAACCTCTACACCCCTAAACCCTAAACCCTAAAGCCTAGAGCCTAAAACCCTAAACCCTACACCCCTAAACCCTAAACAATCAGTCCGGGAACCCAAATCCCGACCCTGCGGTCCCGCCTGAACGAGGGAGGCCCCATCTACCAGAGAGTTGATGAATCCCAGGAGGAAGAAGGGCATCAGCATCCTCAGGGCTTTGTGGTCTTAGGCCGGGTTTAGGGTTTAGATCCCAAGAGGAAGGAGGGCATCAGAATCCTCAGGGCTTTGGGGTCTCAGGGTTTAGGGTTTTTAGGGGCGTTTTGCGCTTCGGGTTTATAGGGCTTGGGGTAGCAAGGTTTTCAGGATTATAGAAGGGAGCCTAGCAAAAAACAAGCGCATCAGCATCCTGAGCGAAGAGGGAGCTGTGTCTTTGAGGGGGACGGTGCGCTCTTCACTGGGGCTTTCTAGTGGTGTCTTTGCAGATCTTAAGAACAGGGTTTAGGGATTGGAAGGGCTTTGACAAGTCTTTCTCAAGGGGCTCAGCGTTTACGCCCAGAAACTGCATTCCACGCAACCTCCCCACTTCAATCTTTACAGAACCCTTATTAAAAACTAGTCGCAAAAAACACTGGTAAGAACTCTTATCAAGGAAAACTGTAGAAACACGAAAACCCTGAACCCGCAAAAACCAATATCCTAAGACCTCACCTAAACCACGGATTCCAAAACCCCGAACCCCAAAACCCTGCAACCCGAGACCCTAAAACCCTGAAGCCCCAAACTCTAAAACACAAAGGCTAAACCTTGAATCCGAAACCCCAAAGCCTCAAAAAAAAACGAAAGACGCCAACCACTAAAGGACTAAATTCCCAAAGTCCTACGCATTAAAGCCCCCAGAAGCGCTCAACCCTCAGGCACTACAACCCCCGAGCCTCGCCACCCAAAACCCAAATCCAAAAAACCGAAAACATCAAAAATCTGAAACCCCAAATCCCAAAAACCCCAAATCCCCAAATCCCCCCCTAAACCCCAACACCCCAAATACCTAAAACCCTAGGCCCCAAAACCCTCCAATGAAGCCACGCGCCCCTAAACCCAAAACCCTCTGAACCCCTAAACCCTAGAAGCCCTGAACCTAAACCCTTAAACCCCCGAAGCCAAAAACACCCAAACCCCCTAAACCCTAAACCTTCTACCCTGAGCCCGGCCGCCTCAGACCACCAGTTCCACAGCAGATACCCAAAGCGGAGTTACGAATCAGGTCGTAACCTTTAGGGTTTAGGGTTTAGGGATAGGGTTTAGGGTTTAGGGTTTAGGGTTTAGGGCTTCGGGGGTTTAGGGGTTCAGGCGGTGTAGGGTCTAGGGCCGCCGTGGTTCAGGGCCTTCTGTCAGGGCGTTTCCGGGAGCTTCGGAGAATTCTTTGGGGGGGTGCTGTGAAGTGCTTTGGGGCCCGAAGCCGGTCGAGAGCTTCGGGTCGAGCGTGCAGGGTTGAGGGCTTTGGCTACTTTGATGTTTTAAGGAAATTTGGGGCTTAGGTTTAGAGTTTAGGGTTTAGGGTTTAGTTGGGCTTTGGGGCCTTAAGGTTTAGGGTGAAAGCCTCGAAGAAAGCGCTTTCAGAAGGGTGATCAGGATTTTATGGTTGCAGCCTTCCTGTGGACTTTTTAAGGGCTGGAAAAATACTACCCTAAACCCCTAAACCCCTAAACCCCTAAACCCCTAAACCCTAAATCCTAAACCCTAAATACCCCAAACCCTAAACCCTAAAGCCTAAACCCTAAACCCTCTGCCTTTGGAGCTTTGGGGCTCGAGTCGCGGGGTTTAAGGTGTAGCCTGCTTCCAAATCTCAGAAATGGTGTTCAGATGCTTTCCTTCAGTGCTGCTTAGCGCTTTCTTGGGTAAGTGAGGCTTTGAGGTTCTTCAGGGTGTTAAGGCGTTTAGGATTTTGGGGTCTCAATTAAAGGCCTTCAGGTACGCTTCAGAGAGGTTAGGGTTATCGATGTTATAAGGTTTAGGGTTTAGTCCGGTGCTGCTTAAAGGCTGTTCAGGCTTTGTTGGGTAGTTCTAAACCGCAGGGCTGCTATGGCATCTCGTCGGGCGTCTAGGATTTAGGTTTGAGGAATCACTTTCGTGTTTAGGGTTTAGTTTAGGTTGTGGACACGCGAAGGGGAAGGACTGCTGGTTAAGGTGCTTCAGGGCAAGATAAACCCAAAACCCCAAAGCCTGAACCATATCCCGTGCGTACTTCCCTGCCTGTCTGCAGCCCTGAACCCTTTGACCCTTTAATTCGTAAACCCCTGTAAGCTTTAACCCCAAAGCCCCGAAAGCCAACCCTTCAAACCCACAACCCGAGAAAATCCGAATCACCCAGACTTCTTCAGCCAAACAACATGGACGCATCTGGGCATCCTTGCAGATTCAGCCAGTTTGCAACGAGAACAATGCCCCTTGACTTGGGGTAGTCACAAACTGAGAACTAAGAAGTCATTCGAGAATCTGGGTGGTATGCTGTAAACAAGATTTCCAAATACATGCAACGCCCGTCCTGCAATGCACTCCTACACTCATTCTAAGAAGCCCTACCCTAAACCACAAACCCTAAACCCTAAGAGGAGCATGCTTTAAGTATGTGGCTCGTACTGCAAATGCTTCTCTCAGCTCATCCGAGTCCCTTACAGGGGCCCTGCAAGGCCCCTACAAGCGTACATACTGCAAAGGTTTACGGTAAAGGGTCAGCCTACTATATGGATTGGTTCGGGGTTTAGAATTTTCGGGGTTCTGCTTTAGGATTTAAGGGTTTAGGGCCGGTTTAGGGTTTAGTGGTTTAGGGGTCTAAGTGTTTACGGGTTTAGGGTTTGGGGGTCAGCAACCAGCTCAGCCCAAGCAGACAGTCCTCGGCTAGGAGGTACGTGCCAAAGATGGCCAGGCACCTCACAGGGCACTTTCGGGGAATCAGGGTTTAGGGTTTAGGGTGGGAGGCTTCAGGGCTTAGGGTCTTTAGGCTTAGGGTGTGGGGCTTTGGGGGTTTTAGGTTTAGGTTGAGGGTTTGGGTTCAGGGTCCAAGCTTTAGGGGGCTTTTGGGGGTTTGGGGGATCGGGGTGTTTAGGGTTTTCAGTATCTAGCTTGGGCTTAGGGTACTGAAGAAGCCTAGATACGTACCGAAGCCCGTCAGGCTGGTTTTTTCGTTTACTACTGTTGATGATATAAATCCTGCATGACCTTAAGGGTCCTAAACTATGGGAATTATGGTATCTTCCTTATTCTGGGTAATGCAGGATTTGTATCATCAACCGTATCAGCAGGATCCCCCCAAAATACTTTTCCAATACTGTTCAGGCCCTCATGGTTACTCGACCACGGGACTTCGCGACTCAGAGTTTAGGGCTTGGGGTTCAGGGTGTAGGGTTCAGGGTTTAGGGTTTAGGGCTCTTAGGGCTTAGGGGATCCGGCCAAGAGACCAACAGAATGCAGCTTTTCTCATAGGCTTCTCAAAGGAAAGGGGGGGAGCTGAAGAGCTTCGGGCTGGCGACTCTGTCTTTCGGGTTGAAGTTAGTGATCTTTGCTTTTAGGGTTTAGGATTTAGGGTTCATGGCTTCAGGGTTTTAGGGTTCAGGGTTTAGGGTTCCTGGGTTTAGGGTTTAGGGTTTAAGGTTCCTGGGTTTAGGGTTTAGGGTTTAGGGTTCAGGGTTTAGTGGGGGTACGGTTTACGATGGGAAGTTGGGGCCGAGGGGGTGCGGGTTCAGGGCTCGTTAAAAGAGCAATACCGGTGATACCAATTGAGCATCATAGCCGGCCCTCGGCTACCATCCACAGTTTGCAGTTTGCAGTATTCGACAGATGTCACTTTGCAAAGTACAGCATAATGGCAACACCATCAATGCTGTATGCCTTCCACTGAACAAAGACATGTATCTGCGTGCGTGCATATCGTATAGCTATGTATGTGTATATATAAAAATATACATATATATATGTGTGTATACATATATATATAATATATATACACACACATATCTGTGCATGTGTATATAGCACTTGGATATGCTGGTTGGCTCATGTCGCGTTCTTTTGTACATCATGCATAATCGAGCACTCGAAGAAAGCTCGGGCCGCTGCCACGTACTCAGCGCACCTCAAGCTGCGAATCGTTTCAAGGGATGTTTCTATTTCGGGGCCTGAAGAGTGGGCATACGGCTTTGGGCTTCACTGTAGAAGGTTATAGTCAGGAACCCTCAACAACCTTCCTACGTAGTAGCCGAGCTTCTCTTAAGTGTGCTTTGCTTGATCTGAGAGCCGTCGGGGTGATGACGACACTCCTAGGCGAAAAACCCTACATCCTGAACCTTACAATCCCAAACCCGAACCCCCGAAACACTAATCCGCCTAAACCCTGAACCCCAAGCGAAACAGATCTCCCTAAATGCATGGCCAGAAGCCCTTCTGGTGAGGGGAGCTACTCCCCCGTCATCATCTAAGATGCCCATTAAAATACCCTAAACCCTAAAACCTAAACCCTAAACCCTAAACCCCTAAACCCTTAAACCCCCAAACCCCAAAGCCCTAAACCCTTAAACCCCCCGAAACCCCTAAACCGCAAAGATCCCAAGTCCCAACACTCTGCGAAGCTGCGGCTCTAGCAGAATCTTGGTCAAATGGGCGTCCTTGCGATGCCATGCCCCCAAAATCCCGAAACCCCTGAACCCTAAACGCTAAACACCTAAGCCTCACAATGCTAACCTAAACCCCTAAACCTGACAATCCTGAACCCTGAACCCTTCAAGGAAACCCTAAACCCCTAAACCCCTAAAGCGCTAAACCCCAAACCCTCCAAACCCTAAACCCTCAACCCTCCAAACCCTAAACCCCTAAACCCCTAAAGCCCTAAAGCGCTAAACCCCTAAACCCTCCAAACCCTAAACCCCTAAACCCCTAAACCCCTAAACCCCTAAACCCCTGAACCCCTAAACCCTAAAACCCCAAACCCTCCAAACCCTAAACCCCCAAACCCCTAAAGGCGCCAAGAGGCTCAAGGGAGTGAAGATCGCAAAGACGGTGCCGAAGCCCCAGAGGCCCATGACGAAGTATTTCGTGTGGCCCTGGGGTAGGGGTTGAGGGTTTAAGGGGTTTAGGGGTTTAGGGTTTGGGGCTTTAGGGCTTTAAGGGTTTAGGGTTTCTTTTAGGGTTTGGGATTTTAGGGTTTAAGGCTTTAAGGTTTGGGGCTTTAGGGTTTAAGGGTTTAGGGTTTGGGATTTTAGGGTTTAAGGCTTTAGGGTTTGGGGCTTTAGGGTTTAAGGGTTTAGGGTTTGGGGTTTTAGGGTTTGGGGTTTAGGGTTTAGGGTTTGGGGTTGTAGGGTGTAGCGTTTAGGGTTTAGGGTTTTAGGGTTTAGTATAGGAGATTTTGTACTTTTGTATAAGGGTATGGTTACGGTGTGTGCAGAGTAGTTCGGCTTTGGGATGCAAGGTGCAAGAGGGGTTCTGCCATCTGCATCCACTTTGCAGGATGTGTACCTAGTATCGAGCATCATCACTCTCTGTCTGTCTCTTGGGCTCCCGTGCGTTGACATGGCTTCTGACCCTCGACCCTAAACTCCCTAAACTTTCTAAACCCTGAACCGTGTAATATAAGGGCCTGGAGAACCGGAAGAGGGCTTTGAGGTATGTTACACTACTACGAATATAAGAAGGAACGAAGGAATAAGCCGAATAAGCCTACGAATTATTCAGGCCCTATATGACGACCCGCCTTATAAGAAGACTGTGACACCCGAATTCCCCTTGGGCCACGGCCAGCAATCGCCGTGCCTCAGCACAAAACGCACTGGAAACGTCGATCAGACAAAACTCCGTAAATCCGCAGCTATAACTCGAGTTTAGGGCCAAGCCCTATAACCGATGCATAAAAGCCGCATCATCTGGTAGAGAGGTAATGCTGTCCGTGCTTGGAAGTGGCAGCACCATTGCTCCAGGATGCAGGCAGATCTCGACCTCTACTGACTTCTGCTGGACTGGACAAGCTGTCATCAAGGCTGCACGCCCGCCTATTCTGGCTTGACTGCATAGTATGGGATTCGAAGTTCAGGCGTTGGCAGGGCTCGAGTTTCGCTGAGCATGACCTTCTGGCTGTGGGTTTAAATCGACATCAAAAACCTGGAGCCGTCAGGTACAGTGGACAGACGCTGCCATCCCAGCATTCTTTGTATCCTTTTGGATCCCCTTCTCTCTCTTACAGAATGCTTGCCGGACCCTTTCAGAGGCCTTCTGGAACCCCGACCCTTACCCTCAACCCTAAACAATAAACCCTAAACCCTAGAGCCCTAAAGCCCTAAAGCCCTAAACCCTAAAGCCCTAAACCCTTACAAAGGCCTCATCTGAAATCTCGGAACCCTAGGACCTTAACCCCGAGATCCCGAGACCTTGAACCCGAAAGCAAAAGCCCGAAACCCTGTACCCTAAACCTTAAACCCTGTAAACCCTAGGGTTTAGGGTTTAGGGAGTTGAGGGAGTTTAGGGTTTAGGGAGTTTAGAGTTTAGGGTTTGGGGCCCTTAGCCCGAGAAACCCTGAGTCAGCCCGGACCAAGCCGCAGGGACCTGGACAGCCTGCGCCACCTGTGCCGCGACCTCCTCGGTTTCGGACTCGATCACCGAAAACTGCTCCTTGCCGTTTAGGGCCTAGGGTTTGGGGTTTGGGGTTTAGGGTCTAGGGAGTTTAGGGCTTAGGGTTTAGGGTTTAGGGGGTTTGGGGTTTAGGGTTTAGGGTTTAGGGCGGTACCTTTAGTGCTTCTTTTGGGGGTTCAGGCCGTAGGGCTAGGCGTTGGAAGTTTCGGGAGTTGGGGCCGAGAGACAGCAAGCAAATCCCTCAATCCTCAACCCTACCGGGACCTATTTACCGGGAATGATCCTCGAAACTCGGCACACCCGAGGATGAGGCTTACGCCACAAGCACGACTTGTGTATTGTTGGGGCCTTAATAATGTGGATCAGGGTTCTTTCGGGTTCCTGCAAGGGATACCACTATATGGGTATGGGGGCCTTAATAATTGGAAACGGGGTTTTTGGAGTAGATATTATACTGTAACTATAACTGTAACAAGGAACAAGGAACCCCAACGTTGTATTGGTAATTATTCAGGCCCCTATTATAATGCTCCTCTACACCTGAGCTGCGGAGAGTCGCGAACCACCGCGCTACTGCAAGTTGCGCGCGATCCCAGCCTCCACCTTGAGCACCGAGCGCAGCAGATGAAGAGGACTGTAGCCACCTTTACCTCGGAACGTTAGATGAAGCCCGACACCCTAAACCCTAAACCCTACACCCCTAAACCTTTATCCCCAAACCCTAAACCCTAAACCCTACTGCTGCTGCCTCCTCTTCTACTACTACTACTACGACGACGACTACCGCTACTGCT